GGGGGGGGGGGGGGGGGGGGGGTGTTGTCTTTTTGTTTGACATGTCTTTCTGGAGACGTAATCAGTACAGGGTATTGTCGTTTCAGGAAAAATGCAAAAGCCTTTACCAGAACTGCTAAAGGAGTATGACATGGCTGTCGGTATCTTCCCCCGTGATGCCACCAACTATGAGTTCAACGAAGAAACTGGAAAGCTTACCGTCTTCATTCCCTGCGTTTGTGAGGTTGGTTATAGGGACTCATCTGTCTTGCGTTTTTCTACTGCCGTAACTGGATACCTGGAGAAAGGAAAGCTAGCTGATATCGATGGAATTAAAACAAAGGTGATGATTTGGGTAAAAGTGACAGCCATATCGAGTGAAGGATCAAAGCTATATTTCACAGCTGGGCTGAAGAAAACCAGGAGTAGAGAGGCTTACGAGGTTCTTAGAGATGGAGTAAGTGTGGATAAATTCTAAAATGGTCGATTTTATATCATATTATCAAAGTTGTAACCCCGGTTCGAGGGCGCCTGGACCCTCTTCTGGCTTTCTTCCTCCATGCTTGGTTGGTGTAATCATGACTCGTATAAATCAACTTCTATTGCTTCTGCGTTTGTGATAAGGTGAATTTAACTATTTCCTTGTGATGTGTTGAATTGTTTTCCGATTGAAACTTATATCATCCTAAGAGAGCCACACCGAGCCTCACCGGGATATGTGGCCATGAAAATAGTCGATAATGAAAGTAGTAGCCAATAACTCAGAGGGCGTTGGCCAGTTTATAGCACTCAAAGTAGCATCTAGTGTTAACGCGCCCGGGGAGAGAGAGAGAGTTGCAGACTTGCAGCTGGCTTGAACCCGTTATGCGTCATGCATGGCAATTGGAAAGCTGGGGGAGTGAGAGGACCTCGTGCTTCTGTGTAGTCTCCATATTGAAAAGAATTCATCCAAAAAAGATTTGCACCAGCCGGGAATCGAACCCGGGTCTGTACCGTGGCAGGGTACTATTCTACCACTAGACCACTGGTGCTACATTTGCTGTTTTAAAAATACATATTGATATTATTCATTGTTGGAACCTTCCATTCTCACCATTTCCACATGCGAAATGGTTCCATCTTAAGAAAATTATAACATGATTTTTTTTTTTCTGATCAAAACAAAAAAAAAGGTTCACAAAGAGACAGAAGAGGATGAAGACAAAGAGTACATTGACGCCCGGTAGAGAGGCGTGTGTTATCCACAAGCCTCCCTCGTGTATTATACTATTATGTTCCATTTAGCCTCCCTCGTGTATTAGACTTTTATGTTCTGTTTAGTACGATAAAAAAATAAAATAATGGATAAAATATTATATTTAGTAAAAAATAATAAAAAAGTGAACGGATGAATTTACTTTCAACTCATCAAAAGCAATCCCTTCAAAATTGGGTGAAAAATGAAGAAAAATGATAATTACGTTGGTTAAAAATGTGTTGTTTACTTTTTTAACCTTTAATTAATTACTTATTTATATTAAACACATAAACTCAAACTCATATATCAATCGGTGGAATTATATTATGTGTTAATACTCTGTGTGTGTGTATATTTGTATATTAGTGTGTTTATTTTTTAGTTTTTATTTAAAAATCAAATAAAAAATAGATGTATTTTTATGTAATTTGCGTTTGTTAAAACACATAACGTATACCATAGTGACATGATGTATAATATATACACTAACCTCATATAAGGATAAAATAATAAATTATGTATGTATATTATTTCTATCCTTCTATTTTTGTCATTAATACCATATATAAAAAAAAATTAATCATTTCTACTTTTCATCTATCCTACCAAATATAAAAGAAAGAAAGTGTATCATTTATATTTTATTTCTTTAAAAAATAAAAAATATATTTTTCTTACTTTTCATCCTTCCTATTTTCCATCATCATCTTTCCTATTTTCTATGGTTCCTACCGCATTAGTCTTTGATCTTGCCTAACAATTCAGTGTAAAAAGAAGAAAATCTGCAAGATTCCTGTCAACGCCTTAGTTGCCAAGAAACAGTGGTGTCCACAAGGCCCTTGTGGCATCTATCTTCGAAAGTAGTAATCTCAACATCACACACTATGAATTAAAAATTCGAATACAACACATAAGAAAGAAATAATCGTAATAGAGACCCAATAATTTTGTGTCATGTTTGAATTGTATTAACGCGTTATTTCAAATGTTTAATCGTGACCACATTTTAATCAGCGTTGCTCATGTCTTATGCAAAGACAAAAATAGCTGGATATACTTGAGGTGAGATGCGAACCTTCTGAATGGTGACACTGTTTTTTTCCCTCTTTGATTATTTTTTATTTATTTATAAACTTTACAAGAAAACTTTTAGCCTTCACACATAATTCAAAACTACAATTCCATTACTAAGGTACCCATTGGGCTTATTAGTCTATCAAAGACATAAAATTGAGGGTCATTAGCACTATGCATTTATACTATTACTACTGCACATGATTTCAAAAGTAATGATAATATTTAAGGATACTTACATCTAGACTCTTTGAGATTTGTTATTCAATCATTCAAATTTTCTAACACTCGAAATATTAGACATAGATCCTCTAAAATTTATACGCGCGTAACACTTACACTCCTGTCGTCAAATTTCTGCTAGTATATCTGTTAGCAAATTATACCCAGACCCCCTGGAGTTTGTAGAAGTATAATATTTAAATCTCTTAAGTTTAAAATGTTATATTTAAATCAAAAAACTTCAATTAAAAATATAATATCAAATATTTTATAATTTTAAATCAAAATTCATGTTCTATTGAATCATTTATTAAAATAAAATCAAAAATAAAAAAATCAATTTTTTCTTAAGAAATTGTAATTATTATACAATTATACTATCTATTGGAATCTTGAGTTCAAGTGTTAACAAAAATAAATTGTAAATCCAGACTTCCTGAATTTGAATCTTGGTAATCTTTTGGGTCAGGCCATAAGAGATTTATTTCTTATGAATACTCATCCAGCCTAGATGGTCTGCTTTAGACCAAACTGAAGAAGGGATTAGTTAAGATGAATATAAACTGACCAAATACTCCTCTTGACCGTTAAACCAAAAAATAAAATAAAAATAAGACTTATTGCTCATGTAATTTCATCAATTCACCGTGAAAATTTTTACTCCGAGAGAGTGCTTTTTCAAATTGAATCGTAATCAAATTAGATATTATTAATATATCTAAATTTAAATCCGCAAGACTAAAACTACCACCTTTGGCATGCTTATTTATGAATTATTTCTTTTTGGTTTTTTTATTTTTATTTTTATATTTTCCACTTTTTTGTATGTTATTTTGGCTGCTTGTAGCTCCACGTGGTGTGAAACGAAAAAAGGCACAGAAGTATACCTTTTGGATATTTCCTGAGATTCCACAATTTTCTGGATAAGGCCATGAGCCCGCCACACGCCCGTACACATGGATCAATCCTAACCATCCAAGTGTAGTTGGTCCAACGGTCCTAAATGAATCGTGTGCCACTTGAATTCTCGTGAAACTCCCTTGGCCGCCTCTATATATCTGAACACCCTCTCCTTCACACCTCCATAGCTTCCCTCACTCTCATCATCTCTTCTTTCTCAGTTCAATCTTCATTCATCTCTCTCTCTCTCTCTCTCTCTCTGAAGCAATGTTTCTTGAGGCAGTTTCAGCTGTTTCTTTGAGGGCTAGTCTTGGACCCTTGTTGGGTTCGAGAACTATCTCTTTATCATCTCCTAGTTTGAGTTCTTCTTCTTCGTCTTCTTTCTCTGTTGTGAATGTTTTGCCCAGCCAACGCGGTGAGAGATTCGTGGTTTCTGCTGCGTCGGAAATTACAAATATGCCACTGACTGGTGTGGTGTTCAAGCCATTTGAGGAGGTTAAGAAGGAGGATTTTATGGTCCCAATTTCTCCCCATGTTTCACTTGCTCGCCAGAGGTTCGCCGATGAGAGTGAAGCAGCCATCAATGAGCAGATCAAGTGAGTTTTTCATATAGATCTTAAATATTTAATTTTGAGGTTCTGTTACAGGTGGAATCATCGTCTCCTTTCTTACTATATAAGTTTTTGTTTGATGTCACAGTGTGGAATACAATGTATCCTATGTATATCATGCCATGTATGCGTACTTCGACAGGGACAATGTTGCTCTTAAAGGCCTTGCTAAGTAATTACAGAAATCTCTACGATTCTCCTTTTCTTCTTTATTTCTTTGTAGCCCTGTTGATTTGATTTATGAGATTGGTGTAATCAGATTTTTCAAGGAGTCAAGTGAAGAAGAAAGAGAACATGCTGAGAAACTAATGAAATATCAGGTGATTTTAATTGTTATATGAATTAAAAGAATAATTAATTTGAAAGTTCTATAATTTCATTGTTTTGCATTCGATGCTATTTATCATACACATTTTTTTTTTTGGGTAATGAATGACAGAACATAAGAGGAGGAAGAGTGAAACTGCACACTTTAATGCCAACCCTGTCAGAATTTGATCATGTTGAGAAGGGTGATGCATTGTATGGTAAGTCGCTGCTTATCATATACTATCAGTAACCCAGTGCCTGAGGATACTCTGTAAGACTAAAAAAAATCGAGCATTTATATGTAATATTACAACTTGCTAGCTGTAAATATTAGATGCATTTTGTGCACCCATGGTGTATTGATATATATGCACTGGTTGTAATCTTAGGCATGTTTCAGTTTGTTGCACTGTCAGATTCAGTGGATTTTGTATCACATATGTGCCTTGAATTCAGTTATTACGTCTACTATTTGGATGCGCTTTGGTTTTCGACTGTGATTACTGTAATATGCATCTAGATAATCAGCTCTGACAGTCCATAATATCTTGATTCAGCAATGGAACTGGCATTGTCCTTGGAGAAATTAACAAACGAAAAACTTCTGAGCTTGCACAGTGTAAAACATCTTTACCCTCTTAATGTTGTTGTTTTGTTTTCCTTCGTTCTCTGACAACAGAACGTCTTGAGCAGTTAGCTCGATCAAAAACATTTGCACAATTCACCGACAACTAAATTTCAGTTTGTAACTAGCTTACGTTACTTATGAGATATACTATGTTCTTGATGGACCACAGGTGGCTGATCGAAACAATGACCCTCAGATGGCAGAGTTTATTGAAAGAGAATTTCTAAGTGAGCAGGTGAACTAAAAATAATGCTTTTTCCTGTCTTGGTTATATACCCTGCTTCAATTGTTGGGATGAAAAAATGTTTCTGCCAAACCGGGTAGTAAAATTTTGTGACGACCTGTGCATGAAAGACTAATTGTAAAGTATGCTTCTTGCCATTGTGTCGGTGTCTAGACAATTTTGCCAAATAGATATTCAACGTCAATCAGAATTTCATATATATCTATTTTGCCCTATAATATAAGAAGTTGAAAGCTAAGGAAGAAGTTTGCAATTGTTGCTTAGTTACTTGGATTACGAACAACATGTTGCGTGCGCATGAATGGACTAATTCTAGCATTGAGAAAACAGCTATTGGGAAGAGAACAAATGCAAGTCCAATAGTTTGATCAGAAAAAACATCTTTGATGGCTTTATGAATGCTAACTTATTTTTTTCTTTTGCTAGGTTGAAGCCATTAAGAAAATAGCAGACTATGTTACTCAACTGCGATTGGTTGGAAAAGGGCATGGTATGGATGATATTTCAATGTCACTCTACGCTATTTTCTTTTTTGTGTTCACCCTGGCACTTGGTTGCCACAATCACATGAAAAATGTATCGAGCTGCTCAGTTTCTCAATCATATTTTTACTTTTCCAATAGTAATGAAAGTATTTGTTTGTTGCACTTCTAGGGGTTTGGCATTTTGATCAGCTGCTCCTCCATGAAGGTGATGGTGCATTTTGAAGGACCCTAGCCCCGGAAAAGAAAATGGCATCAATCAGATTCCAAAGTTGCTCTTTACTATTGTATATTGTATTTCCTGCGTAGTGCCTCTGATGATATTACCTCTTATAATCCTCGGACAAGTGCATCTCGCTGCTCATGTTTTGTTATATGTTTTAGTCAAGACTTTATTGTAATGAGACAATTTTGTTGCACCTGCATGGAGATGTCACTTTGGTGAGAAGCTCCTCCGTGAGGGTGATCCAGCACATAGAAGTCCCTGTAGTATTTTTATCGTCTACATTAGAGTCTGTTCTAGTCTCGTTATCTTGAAAATGTATGGAGTGATCCTTGGATAAAGATGCAGAAGGGCTAGAAACTTGAAATTAAGCGTTTTAATGTTTAGACAAGTCTATGAGCCCCATTGTTTTCACATATGATGATAATTTTAAGCTGAAAAGCTTGATGGGTTTATCGTGTGACTATTAAAGGGGAGACTCTGAACATAACAGACATCTTGTTTGAAACTCAAACCTTGATCAATGCAGTCTGATGAATTATTCAAAACTGAGTTGGCTTCTAACAGGGAGTATTGGGAGTTATGTTTAAATCTATATTGCAGTCCCCTCCTACAGGGACAATGAACCACAAGAGGGTCTTCGATCGGAGAACAAGTGGGAGAAAACTGATGCCTAGACACTAAACTTGCTTTTTTCGACATTCAAATGGAGGTGTCTATTACAATATCATTCCTACAGAATGAAACTATCCCTCTAATTGAGGACAAAAGTAAAAAAAAAAAGTAGTATAGCAAGCCTATCTACAGCCATTTTTGACAGGGCAAACAAAATTCAAGTTGGCCTCAAACAGAATCTCCCATGAGAAACCCTCTGGCTGCTTGTATCACCAGCACTGGAAGGACATGAACAGTGAATCATCTCCCACATCACCTGAATATCTACATATCCTGCGCAAGCGTCCATATCCTTGTAAAGATCCACCAACCCATGCTTATTCTCTGCCATTACCACCATATGAGGGAGAGAGAGAGAGAGAGAGAGAGAGAGGGGTATCTATTTTATAACTTGATCTTACCTTTTGCCTTATATCTGAGGCTTAAAGCAATCCAAGCAAATAGGCCTTTTGTTGGTAGGGAAAATGAGCTCTTGAAGTTGAAACACAGCTAACCTTTCCACTTCTCCGTATCATCATGTTGCTCCTTCACAACCTTCCCTCCTATTCATATTTTCTCATTCCGTAATATCCCAACCTCTCTGTGTTAATAAACTAATGCTGTGGTGCAATATGACAAAAAGGCATCAGATGTAGCATAAAAGCAACATTCACAGAGAAGGAAAGCGTTCGTGTACCGAAAACTTGGGTTATAAAACACTAATCTTTTTATTTAAAGCAATAGCACTAATGCCCCCTGCAAATAAGCTCAAAAAGAGATCATTGTGGAAGGTCTAATGGGACCAATACAACCCAATTAAAGATTAGCTTGATCAGACAAAAACATCACAATCTATTAGAATATTTTCCTGTATCAGGACATATTTGTCAATTGGAATATAATGGGGACACTGACTATCAGATGGGGTCTAAGAAACAATGACATTGATTGAATTTGAAAGAGGGTGTGTTTGAGAGGGAAGAGCTTACTGGGAACAAATAGACATTTTGAGCAGGCAGAGTTCCTTTGGAGTTTGCTTTTCTTATTTATTCATTCACCAAAGATTCTCATGTCTATTGTTTTCAATGGAGTGGTGATGGGCCCTCTGGTCAAACGGTTGGTTAGCTCTCTCTCTCTCTATCTCTCTCTCTCATGGGATGGTGAAGAAATTGAATAGATATTTTAAATTAATTATAAGAGTAATTTAGTATTTATCTTTTAAGTATTTTCTTTTTACTTTTAAGGATTTAGTTGTCATTTTAATTATTTATTTATGTTAGGGTTTGTGATCTCCTTATAAATATAGGATTTGTGAACTCTTTATATATATAGGGGATACATATTTGTTGAGAGACTAGACTTTGATTATTGATTATTGATATTGAATCTTTTTCCTAAAATTCTCTCTCTATTATCATCCTCGTCTTATTCTCTTATCATCTCTAATTATTCCCTAATACGATTTACATCAATTTTCCTAATTCTTCCCAAATTTCTACCCAATTTGGTATTAGAGTCCAATTTCGATTAGTTCCAAATAAAAAAAAAAAAAAAACTGTTCACACGCACTGTTCATCATTGACTCAGGATGGATTTCATCGCTACTTCTTGTGTTTAGCCAAAAAAAGACACCCTAGAAGAATTACAAAAACATCATCAAAAGGTCCAAAAAAAAAATTACAAAATCACCACCATACGTTTTAGCAAATTGCAGAAATACCATCAAGAAGCTCCAGAATTGCATAAACTTCCCCAGCAGATTCAGAGAAATTATAAAAACACCCCAAAAAGTTGCAGAAGTTACAGAACTATCACCAGAAGATTCAAAAATTATAGAATCTTCCCCCATAAGTTCTAGAAATTATAAAATTATCCCCAAGAATTTCAGAATTTCTTCTTGATTATGGTATGCATACTCTCATGAAATTTGAGACTAATATTTTGATTTACTGAAAAATTAGAGAATTTGCAAAGGATCCAAAACATATTTTCTTCTATTTTAAATTTTCTCACTTCTCGTAATTATCAATTGCATCATTAAACTCATTCTTATGTTATTCTCATCTTTCAAAGTCAATCATGAATTCATATGATTATTATGATGTTTATTCATATACTTATATAACATCAAGAATGTCTCAAGTTCACAATTCTCCACAACATCATCACTATACCTATGCCACTCCTAGAGTTTCTCGGAGTTATCATAAAGTCCATAATAAGTTTGAATTTTATTATGAAGATTATCTAGAATACTACTCTGACACACTTAGGTCACATAACAGTTACCAACGTCATGCTTCCCAAAGTCGTCATCAAGGTCAATCTGGATCAATCTTTAATGTCATTAGTGACAATTCAAAAGCTCAAACTGCCCTAGGAAAAAAGGTTGAGATCTTTGAAATTGAAGTTGTCAATACTAAACATTCACTCGACTAATTACGTGAAGAATGTAGAGGGATAAAAAAATCAATTATCTTAATTAACAAGTCAATTTTTCTATTGAATAAAATTCTTGCAAGTCAGCAAATGGAAGAAAATAAAGACAAGTCTCTAGTTTCACCTCATGTCGGACACCCGCATAATGATAGTCATATTTTTGTTCCATTGGACCCTCATGTTTTACATCCTTCAAAACATACTTTCAATCGTTTAAACATTGATACTAGTGATGAGATTATTTTTGATCTTATCATGTTTCCTACCTCATCGGTGCCAAAAGTTGAATCATCACTAAGCATTGAACTTGAGGAAAAATCCATTCAGTTGGTTCTTATGCAACATGTTGAGCATAATGAGCTATCTATTTTACAATCTGTTGGCAATTATGCTATGTCTACTATTCCGAATTATGATGACATTGTTGCGGATTTTTCTTTATTTGAGATTGTTGATTTTGTTTCAAATTTTTCTCCACCTGAAATTGTTGATGATGGGTTAAGCCCAAGTAGTCCAATTTATGTATTAAAGCCCAACCCCGGTTGAGGAGCCCAACCTCATCGTGAATCCACCAAGCCAAAGGAGCCCAAGGCTGGCTAGACTTCTTACTTAGCACGTCACCAAGAGGAGAGCATGGGAAGTTTATCTGCACCGCCTTAAGGAGCCCAAGGCCGGCTAGACTTCTCGCTTAGCACGTCACCAAGAGGAGAGCACGGGAAGTTTATCTGCAACCACCGAAGGAAGAAAACGGTCCAATGATTGACCACATTTCATGAAGAGCTCCCCAACCTCTTCCTTCCGTGGAGGATAAGTCGCGATCTCCACCAAAGATAATCTCTAAGCTGCGATAAAGAAGCCTTGAGGATATGTCATGATCTCCACAAGAATTATCTCTTAGCTACTATAAAATGACTCTAATCTGGGAGAGGAGAGACACATGCTCCATCAAAGACTTACAGAAGACGAACCGAC